TATATATATATATATTATATTATATTATATTATATATTAATATATTTAATAAAGTGACAATAAAGGCATTCTATTCTTCTAATAAACGAGCACATCACTTTTGGGCAAATGAGCCCCGAGGCAGATTTACCATTTGTGCATAAGTGACCGAGTTGATAGCATTTTGTAATCTGTCTATGGCTTTGTAAAAGTAACCACTTGCCCTCATTAAATATACATACCATACCATCAATAACAACACACTGTCTCTCTCTTGTCTAATCAAAGAAAGTATCCGTTAGAAAGTCTGCTCATCTTTTAACTTCAGTGTGTGTGTGTGAACAGTTAGCAAAGCTTTGTGGATGACTCGCCTTCTGCTGTACAAAGCAAACGACATCTGTGGATCTGTGTGCATGAAGCTCTGTTTGTGTGTCTTACCACATGGCGTGCATGTATGTAGGGGGCAGACGAGGACTGCTGACTGGTGTGCAGTTGTATGACCTCATTATCCTCTCCGCTAACAGGAAATTGCGGAACAAGCTGGCCACCAGCAGGTCCTGACGAAACAACTTCTGGAACAGATCTAAAGAGAGAGAGACAGAGTAGAAATTATCCATCACATCAGAGACAGAAGAGGGGCAGCAAATGAATAAAATTACCACAAAGGCGGGATTACGAGTGAGGAAAATGGGGCCCTGAATGAATGAATGAAATTCAAACTGGGTAAAAGAAGTTTAATGAGAGCAGAGTGGGTACTCTCTACAGCGTAGCTTGTGTGTATGCTTACAGAATGCAGAGGACAGCAATATGCAGAATAAAGCAACGAGTCTCATTTTCAGCAGCTCATTAATGTATTCACTAATTCACTTTAATGGGGCCAGGCCAATCCCATGCCAATCTCTGGCTTATGATTGTGATTCCCCAGTTTGCGCGAGGGAGTGAAAATGTGTGTCTGTCGAGGTTATTATATGAGAGACAGTGTCTGACAACTCCTATGCCTGCTGTTTGTGTCCCACTGTTTAAATGTTGAAGTGTTTGTGTTTCTGTGTGTGTGGCAACAGTGTGTCTGTGTGTGTGTGATTTGGATTAGGTGTGCAGTGCCTTCATTACAGGGATTCTCTCTGATGTGTGCTGCTTCATTAACAGCAGAGCCCCGGGGGTTTAAAAGGCTTCGGCAGCCATCAGCATTGTCACATTGCTATTCTAGCTAGGATACAGTTTGTCTCAGGGGAGGTTGTGCCTGTGAGCATGCGTGTGTGTGTCTGTAGATGTGTGTTGCATTCAAGAGACAGGTGTGCAATGAGAAAGTACATGCGCTGCATGCAAAATGCATGTCAAAAAGAGAAAACTGAATATTTTCATCTATAGCCAAGTTGAGCCTTTGGGTAATGGGTAATGGTTAGTGGCAGTGTGTGTGTGTGTGTGTGTGTGTGTGTTTGTGCGCACACGTGTGATGTCGCCATACAGTGTGTGTACGTGCGTCCATACTTGTTTTTATGGCCTCCAAATTATGGTTAAATGATATTCCCAATTACTTTGCCAGATACTCTAAACACAATTAATCTCCATTTGAGGAGCCAAACCGCACTTACGGCATTTTTTTTTATCAACATCTTCACTATGCTCAACCACTGGGGATATTTTCAAAGTTTTAGTATTGCTGATGCTTCACAACTGTACTGGTTTTATTAGGTGCCCTAATTTGGGCTCCCTGAGCTGAAACACACAGGTTCCATTTGTCATCATTGGCTGGACATGTTGAAATAAACATGTCGGTTTTTTATTACAACTTTAGTCTGCCATTAGCTGTCTTTACAAGTTTGTCTTTCCATTACCTTCAACGTCAATAAGAAATATGTGTTTGCTTTTCTGCTTTAAAGGACAATTCCAGTTTTTTTACATATTTTTTTTTATACTTATGATGTACTCACCAAAGTAATGAATCACGCAGGTTAAGAAAACTGGGTAACTGACACTTTGCTAAGCCCTGCCCCATAGTTACTGTTGCTACACCTGCCAAGCTTTCTTTTCTTGCATGATAGATGAGCAGTTTACAATGACAGCAGTGCCACATTTACTTCTCAAAAATCTTAGTGAAGTTTCAATAAGTGGGTCGTTGGTTTTAAACAACAACTGGGGTTACTGGATTGTAAACTTCCCCAAATCCAGAAAAGCCAGACAGACCTGCTGACAAAAGCCAACAATCTGAAACTGTAGCATCCAGGACCAGGAACTGAGGACTCTACCCTTCAAAAAAGCGTCATTTTTTTTTTTTTTTTTTTTTCCTGTCTTAGTAGCCTGCCCTTTTGGGTGAAACAAGGGCTGTAAAAGTGCCTAATGGCATCATTCCTAAAAGCTGCTGTGTTGCATTTTGCACAGCAAACAATAAAAAGTTTAAGGTTTTCTTTACTTGCCCAAAGAGCAAAGGACAGTAAAAGAAGAGATCTGTGGCTTTAGGCCAGAGATGATAAAATGGTAAACTGTGGGACCCGGGCAGGCTATATGTGTATGTCTGTGGCAAACACTTCATCATAGGTAAGTTAATGATGTTACTAAGTGAAACTGTAGATTAAAGCGAACCGGAAAATAGTCTAAAAGATTGAAGATCTAAAGTTTTTACAGTGAAAAAATCAAGGCCACACCATAAAACAGCCGCTTTTAGAATGACAGTCTGTCCACGTAAAAAACGCCGGGAGCAGAGGGTATTTTAACGGCAATAATTTGCATAAATTGATCTTACCTACCTTCTACTAAGGAACATTGTAAACAGCATAAAGTAACGTAGGAAGTGAGGCTAAAACCGACCTGTTTTCTACTTCTCTCAGCTCTTAGTAAAAGGTTGCTGAATGAGTAATGTCACACAGGACAGAGGACCACGGGTAGCAAATGGTCAATTGGCTTACCACTTGTGTTTCTTTCTCTTTTGAACTTCTTTTTAGCAATGTCTTCATGTTCTGAATTTCATCAATTCCTTTGGTCCACTGTTATTATAATTCATGGAAACAATGGCTAAAACTACAAAAATAAGACCCAAGATGTAATAAACTGGAATCATTCTGTCTGTTCTGTAACTGTGGGAAAAAAATTGTGCATGCCTAATGTGTGTGTGTGTGTGTGTTATGTAAAGCCTCACCTCTAGGAAGCACATTCCAGGCGATTGTGTCGGTGATGGCTGTGAAGATCCAGTTGAGCTCACCGAGGGGAGTACGTCTGTCGTTGAGCCTGCCAGGGATCCTGCACCACACACAACATAACACAGATGGCACTGTGTCAGCCGCGCTCGCTGAATGTCACATAGCTGACTCAAAGCACAAAGTGGCAACTGCTCAGTAGTAATATCACAACACATCTGAAGAAATTTACATTTACAGGCACTTACTCAGAGAGGCAAGTTTGAATATTCATGCATGCTTACATACACTCACTTACATGTGTTTCATCTGGGCTGTCTCAACAAAATGAAGCACATGGGAATACATTTGTGTGCTAACTTGACCTGCAGACCCGGCTTTCCTCACATACATCTGATTATTATGGAGGTGGTCCACACCTGTTGAACTGGTGGGCGCTTCTGCTAACGCTATTGAAACTAGAAGATCTCTGCCAGGCAACAGATGGTTAAGCACCTACTGCAATACCACCACAGCGGAGATTTGCAAAGTTCTGAATAAAGTTTTCTCGTATAGTATAGCATAGTGTACATTTTGTCATGTATGCAAAGTTTTTAATAAATTGTTTTTGTGTAGTTTAGTCTCAGTTTTCTTTAAGATGCATATAATAGTGTAATGATATTCTAATTGTCCTGGGTTTGCCTAACTGGATAAACTTCATAAGGAAACATAAACTAGAACATATGTCCAAACTTCTGGATTTAAACGTTATGTAAACAGTACAAGCAACCAGTCGGCCTTATAATATATATAAAAAAAAGAAATCTACATTTTGGAAAACCTCACGAATGCTGAAATTCGAAATAATTTACACCTGATGTTACCTATTCATAGACCGGAGCCGAGCTAAATTAAATCCAACAAGAAACCACTATTATGTACATTTTTTTTTACTTTTATAACAAACCAAAATTCATGAAAATCGGTTCAGAATTAGTAGCAGATCTTGACCTCTCCAATATGGCGACTGCGCACACATAGCAGCATCATACAGCAGTGACCAATGAGATATCTTTTGCTCTCGCTCCTACAGTCAAAACGGTGGCGAGATTTATTTATCTCGTATCATGCCTGACTTTACTTGATCATAACATATCATATATAGAATTAATCTGCAGATGAGACCAAACATTTCTATGGATGTCAATTCATAAGCCACAACAAAGGCCAAAATGTGGACTGCTACAGCCAATAATAAGTCAATAATATATTTTTGTGAGATTAAATCTTAGAAACCAGGGAAAAAGCCGAGACATTTCACACAAACGCTACATGTTTGTGTACAGGTAGCACTTTGATCATCATATTGTACATTGATCCCAAAAGCACCGGTCAAATATAATACTTACTGTCATTTACCACATCTGCTAACACATTTTGTTTGGAAAGATCTGATTTCACCAATTTTGTGCCACAGTAAATATGAAAATATAATCAAAACTTTAAAAATAATTTAATATAGGTTTCCTCACAGAAAAGAATGAAATGTTAAGATGTTAAATATTAAAATCAAGAAGGCCTTGCAACCCCAAAGAAGCTTTTGCGACCCCTAGTAGGGGGGTCCTGACCCCAGGTTGGGAACCACTGACTTAAACGACTAGTGTGTAGGATTCAGTGGCATCTAGCGGCGAGAGTTGCAGGCTGCAACCATTTGTATACTGCTCAGCCTTCCAGGCATGTAGGAGGAACTACTGCCTATGAAACCTTGTCTTCTTGACTACAATGAAGGAACTACAGCGATTGACTTACTGAAAGTATTCAAACAGGGCCACAGTACAGTACCCACACTATAATGTGTTTTATAGGAGCCTCAGATGTGTAAACCTGTGCACCATGCATTTGTTTTTACAGAAACCTCTCTGACACCACAGACTCTAGTTATTTTGTTATTCCTTCTGTGACATCGCCATGGAAAGCAGGGAAATCTCTCTCATATACAGCCCACAACGGTGTGACAGTAATCACTGTAGCAAAACCGAGAAAATCACTTTTACTACACCTAGGCGTCTGCTTTTTAATGAACACTATGTAAAACAGTGAGAGAAGACGGGGGGATGAGGACAAACACTAGCCGGCTCACAGATATTACAGTTAATGTGAGTCATTTGTGTCTGAGTAAAAAGAAATGCTTTAAAGTAAGGAAAAAATGTGGGGGGAAAAAATGAGAGGAAACATTACAGCTCGCAATGCTACAGAGAGCCAATGATGCGCTTGTTTGTGGAAGAGACTACAGAAAAAAAGGGGAGTGGGAGGTCATTTATTTCACTGGGATTCAAATGATCAGTGGAGGGAGCAGACCTGCAGCAGACCTGCAGCAGACCTGCAGCGGGCCCACAGGTCATAGTTTAAGTGGAGGGTACCTATGCACTGTGTGATCTTGAGTTATCCTGGAGAAAAACAAGAGCTGTCAAAATCTAAGGTCTTGCTGCATTTTCAAAACACGAAAGTGGCATAAATGGATGACACGTGACTGCACAAATTTGTTTCCTATTTACATCACAGCCCTAAGATTCACCAGGCAATCAACGCACAAACCAAAATGCCTCAAAACTTCATTCTGACACAAGTTGTGACCAAAGCTGAATAAATCCCATGTTGCAGTGCGATGTGCAATGAATCTGCAAGATCGCAGCTGAAGAAATGATGTGCAGAAGCAAAGATGGCTCATGGAACGTCTTGCTTTTTACTCTCCATGTGCGGTTCTCAGCAAAAACAGAGTCAAAAAGATCTGTTAATAGTCATATCGACATTATACCAGCAACATATACATGTTTCACTACAGTAATAATGTCTATATGTGTACAAATAGCACAAACACGTAAATCTCCTGTCTATTTCAGATTAAAAGCTCTATTCATATTCATTTATTAACAAGGCTTTTACTGTATTGTATTTATCAATGGCAAACTCATCGTAGAAAGATAGGGCTGACAGCAGCAGAGAGCCCCAGCAGTTCATCTTTTGTTTCCTCAATATAACAACATAATTAGCGTGTTATCATGAAACAACACCTATGTTATCCAGCGATAAGTTGTGATGAAATTAAAAACAAAAAAACTAAACTTTAACCGCTACCACTTTTAGCTTATATTTATATGCACTTAAATAATAAGAGTTTGACATAACTGTGTCAAAAATGGTTACATTCATTGCACAAAACTGACATGCTAAAGTGTTTTTCTTCCAATTTTCTCCTCATCCCAGAAATGTCATCACCCACTGTCACCCCCAAACATTTTGTTTCCACTGTGGTTTTGTCATCATTAGTCGCTGCACTGGAGCACTGCCAGGGGCATGTCTTTGTCTTGAGATAGAAACATTAAATATATATAATAATATACATTATATGAAAATAAATGACACTATACTACTATAAAGTAATGCACTATTTGCTAAACGCCAATTCGTTACACATATAATCATCCCCAAGTCTGGCAGCTGGCATATAAAGTCCATCAGCACTTTAACTAAACACAGAGTATCTGACCTTCCCTGCCCTAAGCCTCCCACTTCCACCTCTAAGTGACAAATAATAGCAGCTTTGACCTTCCTGGCAGGTATAAGCCTAGTGTATAACCATGAGGGCCGGCCAGCTCATGAGCACTCCAAGAGCTTGCCAAAGGTGTTCAGCAAGTCAGCACTAAGGATGAACACTCAGCACTTCATATCCTTGCTCAGTATCCAGTGTAATATATTTGAGAAGGGAAAAGGACAGTGTATTGGTGCACGGAGGGACAGATAGATGGATGAAGTGTTGAACAGGCTGGGAAAAATACCCTCACAGGCTTGTGTCATCGATCAAAATAGTTGCAATTTATAACAATTTCTTGTTTTAGCCATTTTAGTTGTGCTATATTATCCGTTTTATTAATATCTACAGTGATACTGGTTTAAAGTATCTTTCTATTTAGTAAGGCACCTTGTTATACTCCCTTAAGAAGTGCAAGTCTATGTATCTTTGTTATTAGTTCCTACTATTTATTACTATCTATTAACCAGTGATACAGTATGTTTTAGTGTGAGGCAGCAGTTGCTGAAACACTAAAACCCACAGTTACTCATGCTGATGAAGTCTCCAAGTCACTACAGGCAAGAAGTGGAAAGGTCAGTCCTGTTCACACTTTACCTAATATTAGAGGTGTTCAGAACAAGATCAGCACTGCGTCAGGAAGGAAGGAAAATTTATTAATTTCACCAAAGAAAGAAAGAGAAAATAAAATAATTTCACTAAAAGAAGAAAGCTTGAAAGATAAAAAAGGAAAGAAAGAAAAGAAAAAAGAAAGACAAAAAGAAAGAAAAGAAAGACGGCAGTATAAAAAGAAAAAGAGAAAGAGAAAGAAAGACAAGAAAGGCAGAAAGAAAGGAAAGACTGGCTCAGCTTTTACCACCATGTAACATTATCCAGCAACACACTGGTCCAGCCAATCAAATTCAAATGTGGACAGCTCCGTAAAGCTATCGAGGATGCATTTAATTTAATTTGATAAAGTCACCAGAAATGGAAGCACAGTATGACCACAGTAAAGGTGTAGTTAACTTTATATTCTGCATATAGGGCACCATACCAAATACACTGACACACAGGCTTTTGAATAAATAACACACTGTACTCAGAAAATCTTTTTAGAAAAACATTAGCCCCTTCCCTCGTGTCTTTTATCCTCTATGTCCAACCCCCCGATCATACATACAGACTCGAACAACAGAGGCATAACACGCTATTTCACTGGACTCTTTAAATAATGTAATTTTAACATCTTGTAGAGCTTGTTTTTATTCCCTCTGGAAATGGAAGCACTGCCTTTTTTCCTTTTTTTTTGCAAATAAAGTGAAAGGAAAGTCAATCATTGCAGTCAATGGGTTCCCAATTCAACATGATACAAGTTACCAGCAAAAATGGAATATATAATAGATAAGAAAAATTATGAGTGGAAACACACTGCTCGAGAAATGAACTACTTTGCCAGTATAATGGAAAGGGGAGAAAATAACTGTTCAATCAGAGCTGAGTATGTACAGTAAATTATGTTAGCACTAAACACACGTGAGCTCCAGGCGAGGCAA